CAAGCATAAGAGAGGGGCAGGAGGAGTACAGGCAGGAACCGCCTCGAAAGGGACAAGAGGCCACCTGCAGACACCCGTGAACCGAGGAAGGAATCAGGTGGAGAGAACAAGAGCTGCCCAGTATGGGCTAATAGCCCTGCAGTAGGCACCTCGGGTGATATGGTCCATGTTCTCAAGTACGTATGTACACCCATTCCCACTTCCAAAAACAAAAACAGTGTCAGGACAAAGGAGACACCAAAACTGCACCAACTCACCTGCAGAACATAGGCTCTGAAGGGCCATGACGCAAGCGTTCGAGTCCGTATCCGCCGGAGGCGGCCAGTGCGCCCATGCTGGAGAGGGGAGCAGCGAAGGAGGCTCCCCACCCCTAGAACGCAGGGAAAAACCTCATGATTTCCCCACAGCGGCTCCCCAGAACACCCCCCAAAGCAATGGGGCACGGATTGGATTAAGAAAAGAGCGAGAGGCGAAGCCCCCCGAGAGAAATGGAAGCAGAACACATGTGCACACCACCCGGAACCAAAACAAACTCCCACGGCGCATGCGCAGGACGTGAAAGAAAGTAGCCCAACAAGGCGAGAAGTAGCTCAACCAGGCGCGAAGTAGCCCAACCAGGCGCGAAGTAGCCCAACCGGGCGCGAAGTAGCCCAACAAGGCGAGAAGTAGCCCAACAAGGCGAGAAGTAGCCCAACAAGGCGAGAAGTAACCCAACAAGGCGAGAAGTAACCCAACAAGGCGAGAAGTAGCCCAACAAGGCGAGAAGTAGCCCAACAAGGTGAGAAGTAGCCCAACCGGCTACAAGGAGCCCAAACACGACAAAGGAGCCCAAACGGCGACAAAGGAGCCCAAACGGCGACAAAGGAGCCCAAACGGCTACAAAGGAGCCCAAACGGCTACAAAGGAGCCCAAATGGCTACAAAGGAGCCCAAACGGCTACAAAGGAGCCCAAACGGCTACAAAGGAGCCCAAACGGCTACAAGGAGCCCAAACGGCTACAAGGAGCCCAAACGGCTACAAGGAGCCCAAATGGCCACAAGGAGCCCAACCTGTCCAGAACAGAAGGAACTAGTATGGAGGCAAACTCCGGGACACGCAAGAGGAAGCCGCAAAGGCCAACCGCACCGCAGGCGAAGAGATGCGGTTAGCCGAAAACCTCCTGAAGACAGAACCGAAGAAACCACAGGGACATGGAACCGAACCCGGGGAGGAGCAGAGCCCAAGCCCAAATCGTACGCAGAGGGGGGAAAGAAAACCCCACTCCTCGCAACAGTAAGCCCCGCTCAGAAAGACGGAAATCCAGGTGGGGCGCAATGGAGCCCAAGGCCCACAAGACCGCTCCTCCCCAACCCGAGGAGCCTCTGCACCAGGCCCCGGGGCCGAGTCGACCTCCAAAGCCCCGGCCCCACAAGTAAAGGCCGGGGCAGCCGAGAGAGCTGAAAGAGAGGGGGCCCACTGGTTAGACCCCGGAGCATCGGTCGGAGGAACAGACTCGAATGCCTCCGCAGCTACCCCGGATGGGGCAACCCCCGAAACTGCCCAAGTCTCAGAACCTCTAACCCCGCCCCGACCCCGAAGCCTGCAGATGCGTAGGGGCCGGAAGCAGGAGGGGGAAAAACAAGGGGGGCATGGAAGAACCAAGGCCGAAGCGACCAAAACCCCCAAGTCTGGGTCCCTACACAAGCGGGGCAGCATCGGGGCGTCCGGGGAAGCGACAAACCAGAGCGTGTTGCAACATCCTATCCTGCAACGCGCGAGCTGCCTGCACCCACGGGAATTCATCAGCAGACTGGGTGAATGGAGTCACGAACAAGCAACAAAGCTCGCAGGACTCGGGGTCGAATGTGTCACCGACCCAACAGGCAGCATGACGGAGGCAAAAACAAGGAGAGTCACCCTGAGACAAAGGGACAGAGCAACCCTCAACTCGAACAAAGCGAGAGGGGACGCAAGGGTCTCCACTACCGGACCCGAGAGCCCCCGGGGGGTTTCCCCAGGGCCCCTAGACTGGGTCTGCTAAGGGTCTCCCCAGGCAGGGCACTGCTAACCAGCACCCCAAACTACCAAGAAAACTGCTAAAGCTGAACCCACGGGACGTGTCCACTTGCGAGGGCAAAGCAGAGGGTGCCACCACACAAACGAACCTAATATAAGGGGAGGGGGAACACAAGGCAGACTTCCCTACCAGGCAAAAACAAATATAAAAGAAAAACCACACAAGTGGACAACGTACCCAGAGGGAACAGAGCCGGCCGCTGTCATAGGTGAAAACTAGCTACGCAGTACCCTGCGCCCCACCAGTGCTATAACTACCACTTACCCCAAGGTAAACAAGGGAGTAAAACCCCCAAACCCTTGGGGCGGCCAAACGCCAAGCAGCGAAAAGCCAACAGAGGTAGACCCAAGGTGACTTGTGGAAGGCAACCGCAAGCCCCAAGGGCGGTACTTACAGGGCACTCAAGGAAGGTGACCCTAAGCACATGCAGCCCGAGTACCTGAGAATACTACTCCCAGCTCACACGACCACCGTAAGAGCAGCACTGCATACAAGTCACAGCACTGAGACAAGACTGGAACTGAAGCCACACGACCGTGCATTATCCCATCAGCCGAGGAACTGGGGCGGGGATCGCCGGCGCGTGGGTCTGGGGCTCCCCGTTCCCCCTCCCGGGGAGGGGGGAGCTGCACAGACATGCGGCGCGGCTCGTGTGACATCATGCTTGTTAGTTCGTTTTCCTGGGGGAGTTCTGTCCACTCGTTTGTCGATTTTTGTTGTTAACCACAATAGGGGTTTGTTTTGTGGCGCTTACCTTTCTGGGTGCCTGTCCCAGTCGATGGCAGATATAGAATGCTCCAAATCACATGTGCATTTCTATGGGCCATTGCTCCCCGTGCCTCTCTGAGGGGGCCAGGTTCTGGCTCGTGGTCCCCGGTAGGCCCTAGAACTCCATCCACATCGACTGATGTAAAATAGTTAGGGTATCCATATCAGCCATGGATAGCTCCGGGGAGCCGTAGAGGCTCCCCCCAGAAAAGGCTTTCGACAGAGTTCCCCATAAGAGGTTGTTCTGGAAACTGGAACATATTGCAGGGGTGACAGGTAAGCTACTAATATGGATGAAAAATTTCCAAACTCACAGAAAAATGAGGGCCGTAATCAGAGGCAAGGTATCGGATTGGAGGAATGTCACAAGTGGAGTGCCACAGGGTTCAGTTCTTGCACCGGTAATGTTCATTGTCTATATAAACGATCTACCAGTGGGAATACAGAATTACATGAACATGTTTGCTGATGATGCTAAGATAATAGGGAAGATAAGAAACCTAGATGATTATCATGGCCTTCAAGAAGACCTGGACAAAATAAGTATATGGAGCAATACTTGGCAAATGGAATTTAATGTGAATAAATGTCGTGTTATGGAATGTGGAATTGGAGAACATAGACCCCACACAACCTATAAATTATGTGAGAAATCTCTAAAGAATTCTGACAAAGAAAGGGATGTAGGGGTGGTTCTAGATAGAAAACTGTCACCTGAGGACCACATTAAGAACATTGTGCGAAGAGCCTATACTACACTTTCTAACCTCTGAATTGCTTTTAAATACATGGATGGCGAAATGCTAAAGAAATTGTTCACGACTTTTATTAGACCAAAGCTGGAATATGCAGCGGTTGTATGGTGCCCATATCTTAAGAAGCACATCAACAAACTGGAAAAGGTCGAACGACATGCCACTAAGTGGCTCCCAGAACTGAAGGACAAGAACTACGAGGAGAGGTTAGAGGCATTAAATATGCAAAAACTAGAAGATAGAAGAAAAAGAGGCGATATGATCACTACGTTCAAAATAGTAACAGGAATCGATAAAATTGATAGGGAAGAATTCCTGAGACCCAAAACTTCAAGAACAAGAGGTCATAGATTTAAACTAACGAAACAAAGCTGCCGGAGATATATAAGAAAATTCACTTTTGTAAACAGAGTGGTAGACGGTTGGAACACGTTAAGTGAGAAGGTGGTGGAGGCCAAAACCGTCAGTAATTTTAAAGCATTATATGACAAAGACTGCTGGGAAGACGGGACACCACGAGCGTAGCTCTCATCCTGTAACTACACTTAGGTAATTACACTTAGGTAATTACACAACTGTGTTTTCTTGGGCTCAGACAGACACAAGGAACATCCCAAACATCTGTGTTTTCTAGGGTCCAGGCAGACACAATGAACATCCCACAAAGCTGTGTTTTCTAGGGCCCAGACAGACACAAGGAACATCCTAAACAGCTGTGTTTTCTAGGGCTCAGGCAGACACAAAGAACATCCCAAACAGCTGTGTTTTCTAGGGCTCAGGCAGACACAAGGAACATCCCAAACAGCTGTGTTTTTTAGGGGCCCAGGCAGACATAAGGAACATCCCACACAGTTGTGTTTTCTATGGCCCAGGCAGACATAAGGAATGTCCCACACAGCTGTTTTTTCTAGGGCCAAGGCAGGCACAAGGAACATTCCCTCCCTCCCCCGTTTCTTTCACCCTGATGCACCTGTTACCTAGCAGTAAATAGGTACCTGGGAGTTAGACAGCTGTTACAGGCTGCAACATGGGTGTCTGTGTGTATGAAAACAAAAATTAGTTAGTAGTTAGTAAAAGTTGATTGATTGAGTTGAGAGGTCCAAAAGAGCAGAGCTCAACCCCTGCAAGCACAACTAGGTGAATACAGCTGTGTTTTCTAGGACCCAGGTGGACATAAGGAACATCCCACACAGCTGTGTTTTCTAGGGCCCATGCAGGCACAAGAAACATTCCCCCCCCCCCTCCAGCTGTGTTATGTCTTTATGGCTGGTTGCTTATGTCAGGATTACAGTAATGTCATAATTAATAAAGTGGCCAAAAGATAAATTGTATTACCGAAAAGAATCTTTGTATTTTATGATGGTACAGGAAGTTAAACTTTGGAACCATACAACATAACATACACATGAACTTACACTCACTTGTGTCAGAGAAACTCCTTCAGTCATTTTCTGAACCTTCTCAATAATGGTGGAGGCTGAGTCTTCGAGATGGACGGTGACACCTGCCTCTGTGGTCACCATCTCCAGGGCTTCCGTGATGGTCTCCTGCACCTGTCATTACCAACACAAACATTAATGGTAGAGGCTGAGTCTCCCAGGTGGACGGTGACACCTGTCTCTGTGATAACCATCTCCAGGGCCACCCTGATGGTTTCCTGTAGTTAAGTAACTGGACTATATGAAGCCTTATGCCCTGAGTAAAGTAACTGGACTATAATGAAGCATCAGGCTCAGTTAAGTAATAGGACTATAATGAAGCATCAGGCTCTGGGTAAAGTAACTGGACTATAATGAAGCATCAGGCTCTGAATAAAGTAACAGGACTAAATGAAGCATCAGGCCTTGAGTAAAGTAACAGGACTATAATGAAGCATCAGGCTCTGAGTAAAGTAACTGGACTATAATGAAGCATCAAGCTCCGAGTAAAATAACTGCTTTAGATGACATGGTTGAAGAGAACTGATTGTTGACCACAGTGTAGAGAATCACCAAGATGACAGTTGACCGTGTTGAAGAGAACAGTGAGTGTTGATCACAGTGTAGAGATACACCAAGATGACAGTTGACAGTGTTGAAGAGAACAGTGAGTGTTAACCACAGTGTAGAGATACACCAAGATGACAGTTGACAGTGTTGAAGAGAACAGTGAGTGTTGACCACAGTGTAGAGATACACCAAGATGACAGTTGACTTTATTAACAAAATGTTTCAGTTGTTGGACCAAAACATTTTCTAGATATAAAGTTTAGTCTCATCTTGGTTTTTCTCTACACCAAAAGTATTTATATAAAGGCAATACTACTCTCAGTTGGGAGAGAACAATGTGACCTTCAGCAGCGTACCTTCACTGAGGTGTGGACAGTGTTGACATCTGGGAAGAGTTCCTGGCACTTCTGGAGCCAATCTTCTACCTCCACGTGGCACTGATCAGCCGTGTCTATAGTTGTGACGGCCTCCTGGGCTGTTTTCACTGTGTCGAGGCTCCCCAACATGGCCTCCAGCTGAGACTTCCCTTTCTCTCCTTGTGTTGTCATGTCCACCACACAAGTATCCTCCTGCTCCACGAGCTTCATGGCTGCCTTGTTCTTCTCTACCAGACCATAGAGTCTGTCCTGGAGTTGAAGGTGGTGAGTCTTCCAGTCCCCCAGCTGGTCCCGGTACTCAACCAGCTGGGACAGTACCTCTTCACAACTGGTAATGAGGCTGCTGATGCTGCTCTTCTGCTCTTCCACCAGAGACCGTAACTTCTTGCTGATGCCTCTTGTGAGAGCGTTATAAGGATTTGCTGCAACTGTGTCCCCTGACACCAACAGGGAACCTTTAAGTCTTCTAATAAAAGCCTCCATACCATAATTGATGGGATATTGAGCAGCAGCTGTGGCAATGTGCTGGGCACGACAGTTGGGGCAGGTCAGCTGACCATTCTTGATACCGCTGTCAACACACTGGGAGCAGAATGTGTGCCCACACGGAAGACAGCGAGGCCGTAGGTCTCCATCATAATTGTTAAAGCAGACTGAACACTCATCTGGCTTGTTCTCATCCTGAGGAAAAAAACAGCGTTGAATGTAATGAAATGCCATTTTCTGGGTGAGCCTCGGAGGTTCCCTGGAGCTATCGGACTGATAATAACTATATTAGTCTGGGGCATCAGTCAACGTAGTTCTACCTACAAGGGACCACGAGCCAGAACTTGGCTCCCTCAGAGAGGCACAGGGAGCAATGGCCTAAGGAAACCCCCATGTGTTTAGGAGTATCCAAGTGGTTAGCCACAGAGGGCCACCATGGAACTATCCAGGTGGATAAACACAGGGAGCCACCATGGAACTATCCAGGTGATTAGCAATAGGGAGCCACCATGGAACTATCCAGGTGGTTAGCCACAGGAAATCACCATGGAACTATCCAGGTGGTTAGCCACAGGGAGCCACCATGAACTATCCAGGTGGTTAGTCACAGGGAGTCACCATGGAACTATCCAGGTGGTTAGTCACAGGGAACCACCATGAACTATCCAGGTACTTAGTCACAGGGAGCCACCATGGAACTATCCAGGTGGTTAAACACAGGGAGCCACCATGGAACTATCCAGGTGGTTAGCCACAGGGCACCACCATGGAACTATCCAGGTGGTTAGTCACAGGGAGCCACCATGGAACTATCCTGGTGGTTAGTCACAGGGAGCCACCATGAACTATCCAGGTGGTTAGTCACAGGGAGTCACCATGGAACTATCCAGGTGGTTAGTCACAGGGAGCCACCATGAACTATCCAGGTGGTTAGTCACAGGGAGTCACCATGGAACTATCCAGGTGGTTAGCCACAGGGCACCACCATGGAACTATCCAGGTGGTTAGTCACAGGGAGCCACCATGGAACTATCCAGGTGGTTAGCCACAGGAAGTCACCATAGAACTATCCAGGTGGTTAGCCACAGGGAGCCACCATGAACTATCCAGGTGGTTAGTCACAGGGAGTCACCATGGAACTATCCAGGTGGTTAGTCACAGGGAGCCACCATGAACTATCCAGGTGGTTAGTCACAGGGAGTCACCATGGAACTATCCAGGTGGTTAGCCACAGGGCACCACCATGGAACTATCCAGGTGGTTAGTCACAGGGAGCCACCATGGAACTATCCAGGTGGTTAGCCACAGGAAGTCACCATAGAACTATCCAGGTGGTTAGCCACAGGGAGCCACCATGAACTATCCAGGTGGTTAGTCACAGGGAGCCACCATGGAACTATCCTGGTGGTTAGTCACAGGGAGCCACCATGGAACTATCCTGGTGGTTAGTCACAGGGAGCCACCATGAACTATCCAGGTGGTTAGTCACAGGGAGCCACCATGAACTATCCAGGTGGTTAGTCACAGGGAGCCACCATGGAACTATCCTGGTGGTTGGACACAGGGAGCCACCATGGAGCTATCCTGGTGGTTAGTCACAGGGAGCCACCATGGAACTATCCTGGTGGTTAGACACAGGGAGCCACCATGGAACTATCCAGGTGGTTAGCCACAGGGAGCCACCATGGAACTATCCAGGTAGTTAGTCACAGGGAGCCACCATGGAACTATCCAGGTGGTTAGTCACAGGGAGCCACCATGAACTATCCTGGTGGTTAGACACAGGGAGCCACCATGAACTATCCAGGTGGTTAGTCACAGGGAGTCACAATGGAACTATCCAGGTGGTTAGTCACAGGGAGCCACCATGAACTATCCAGGTGGTTAGTCACAGGGAGTCACCATGGAACTATCCAGGTGGTTAGCCACAGGGAGCCACCATGAACTATCCAGGTGGTTAGTCACAGGGAGTCACCATGGAACTATCCAGGTGGTTAGCCACAGGGCACCACCATGGAACTATCCAGGTGGTTAGTCACAGGGAGCCACCATGGTACTATCCTGGTGGTTAGTCACAGGGAGCCACCATGAACTATCCAGGTGGTTAGTCACAGGGAGCCACCATGAACTATCCAGGTGGTTAGCCACAGGGCACCACCATGGAACTATCCTGGTGGTTAGTCACAGGGAGCCACCATGAACTATCCAGGTGGTTAGTCACAGGGAGCCACCATGAACTATCCAGGTGGTTAGTCACAGGGAGCCACCATGGAACTATCCTGGTGGTTGGACACTGGGAGCCACCATGGAACTATCCTGGTGGTTAGTCACAGGGAGCCACCATGGAACTATCCTGGTGGTTAGACACAGGGAGCCACCATGGAAATATCCAGGTGGTTAGCCACAGGGAGCCACCATGGAACTATCCAGGTAGTTAGTCACAGGGAGCCACCATGGAACTATCCAGGTGGTTAGTCACAGGGAGCCACCATGAACTATGCTGGTGGTTAGACACAGGGAGCCACCATGAACTATCCAGGTAGTTAGTCACAGGGAGCCACCATGGAACTATCCTGGTGGTTAGTCACAGGGAGCCACCATGAACTATCCAGGGGGTTAGACACAGGGAGCCACCATGAACTATCCTGGTGGTTAGACACAGGGAGCCACCATGAGTAGGGTAAAGTGCGACTAGAACCGCGCGCACCACATGCCAGGTGGCACTCAGGTGAGTGCCACCCGACAGGTGGCGCGCAGGTCTCTAGTCACACAGGGTTTTTGGGGATTTTCCCGGAAGTTTGGCGCGTTTCGGACGCGTGTGAGCGTCCTGTGTTTGGGTATGTGGTCAGGAAAGAGAGTAAGTTATGTTGTTGGATGCCAGGTGTGTCGTGTCGTCGTCGTCGCAGCGCGTCGTCGTCGTTGCAGAGGGTTTGGGAGGGGAATTTCCCGGATGTTATGACGCGTGGCATCCGGCCAGGCGTCACTTGAGAGAGTGTCATGTTGGGGTTGGAAGCTAAGTGGTTGGTATGCAGTCATGTAGGGAGGAAGAGGAGGGGGAAGAGGAGGAGTGTAGGTTATGTTGTGAAGGGAGGGGGGGAGTCCCAGTACCTGAGAGGATATCAATGACGTCCATTAGTTCTCCCCCATACAGGGGCAGGAAGTGTTGAGGGGAGCGTGAGAGACCAGGGTCTTAAGATTTGGAGGGGGAGAAGGAGGGGAAAGGGTGGTAACAGCTGGCAGTGGGTTTGTGTGTGTGAAAGTAGTCATTATTTTTTCTTAAAGAATGACAGTTTTATGTACCCTCCCTGCTTCCAGAGCGCTAAGGATATGTGGGCTATACCTACCACATAGCTATGAGGAGTGACACCACATGTCCACATGGGTTACCTCTTCAAAGGCTGAGGTCTAACTGTTGCGAATGTCATCATCAACCTCTAACATAGTCAGTCAGTCATCCCCCCCCCTCACCCCCCCCCTCCATCCACATAGCAGGACATACCCCACATACCATCACCACCACCACACTGCTGGGAGTGACAGCAATATGGCATACCATACTCTCTCATGACACAGCTCTCACCGGCACATAGCATTGAGTGTGACAATGTTCTTTCTCAAAGGTGAGCCATGAGCGCAACATACAAATTCCAAAATGCAGTCCTGGGAGTTTGACACACATTGATTAACAATCTATCTGATTATTTATACAGCTTCTCTCTCTCTACATTATATGCGGGTTACATAGTGTGTCAAGAACTCTCTCTCTCTATGTCTCTCTGTCTCTCTCTCTCTGTCTCTCTCTCTCTGTCTCTGTCTCTCTCTCTCTCTCTCTCTCTCTCTCTCTCTCTCTCTCTCACTCTCTCTCTCTCACCCTCTCTAAAGTCCACCACACGGCACATCACTTAGTAAACTCAGTCAAAGTCAGTAGGTTAGCGTTTACTAAAAGAGAGAAACATTTCACATCGTCACGGAGACGCGATCTCTACCTACAAATTGTTCTTGTTAACTGTGATCACAACATCTGCTGGCCAAATAAATATCATTGAAATGTATGCATGTTTACTCAATCTCCATCACCTCTTCGTCCTACATCCATTACTGTTGTGCAGAGGTTGTATCACACATCTGGCGTTATCATAGCAAGACTCCTGAATGAATGAACCGGCAGCCCCTCTCGCTGCGGTCACACCTTCGTGATGGTTTGAGGTGTAGTGAGATGGAGGATGTAATGGCTCGGCCTTACCCTCTCCCCGTCCACCCCCACTTACCCTTACCCCTACCACCCCCCTCCATGGCCAAACCATCACTGCCCCCTTCCCAGACCGGATGTTCTGTTCTAAGCTTTAGTATCACCATTCTTTGCTCAAATAGTATTTTTTTAAGAATATCCAGTCATAAGCTGGTCTTCAATCTTATTATTATAACAAATCATAATTTGCTGTTCTCTCTCTCTCTCGCTCTGCCTCTCTGTCTCTCTGTCTCTCTCTCTCTCTCTCTCTCTCTCTCTCTATCTCTGTCTCTCTGTCTCTCTGTCTCTCTGTCTCTCAGTCTCTCTCTCTCTCTCTCTCTCTGTCTCTCTGTCTCTCGGTCTCTCTCTCTCTCCAGATCATTTAGTAGTTGGGGAAAGTAACATCATTTCCTTTCTCCTGCTGCCGCTGTTCACGTATCTTTCTCCATCAAGGCTGTCTCTCTTAAGACCTACGTCATCCAATGTAAACACCAATCGATGAGAATAAGACCGGTGAGTCGATAGTGAAATAGGTCTGGGTTGTCTGTTTTTCAGTTCTTGTAACACAGTCAATGTAGCGTAATGGGAAACCAGTCTTTCTACTGCCTACATAAATAGCGTTTGAAAATGTATGCAAGTCTAGACAAACTCCTATAGCCCTTACATTCTAACACAAATAAAATATTAGCACACGATTGCATCGCATTATATCATCATTAAGTAACGTAGAGATCAACTTTCTGGCTGTTGTCCGAATATCATTATTGAAATGTGAACTCATTTAGCCAAACACAATATCTCCATTACATCTCATAGCATATGAATATTACGGTATACCAGTTTTAACCCTCTATAACACAATGTAACGCAACGTAACGTAACGTAACGCAAATCAACTTTCTACAGACCAAATATCGTTTTTAAATGAAAGTATGACTTAGTCCATCTTCATTACATCTCTCACCAT